TAATGTACATATATTATATATATATTAACAAATAAATTCTCTTAAATCTCATACGTTCACGATATGTATACGATCTTTAGAGATTATATCAGTGAAGCCTTAAATTGATATAATTAACCATTATCTTACAGGTAAAATTTTGGGCGTATAAATGATATGTGTGTGTTGTGTGATATCGACACGAACCTTTGTCCCTTCGTCGAAAGAGAGAATTTTTTCTTAATATTTTATCATCTTTTTGTTCTCTCGAGTATAACAAAATGTTTTAAAAAAAAAAAAAAATCAACAACTAACCCGTCAATTTACTTGATTCGTTAATTTATCGACAAGCAATCATGTTGACGCTACAAAAGCCAAGATGTTTACCTATAGTAATATCATTCTACGGAACTACAAGTTTAAGAGTGCATCAGCTAAAAGTTCTCGAGATTCTCCTTCGATTACCATCGGGATGGTGGTTCGTGTCTCGACGTTACCGTCACATCGTTAACCTAATTTCGATATGCAATGTTACTCGTAATATTAATACCTTAATCATATTACTCTCTTAATTACTCTATTTATCGAATTGTAAAACACAATTTACTTTCCACGTGTGTAATGCTTTTGCGACACTACGTTCCGTAAACGCATCTTCAATAGTAATAATATATCGCGCGATATACAGTCTACGAAAGGTGTTCGATGATGGTTGTTTCCTGTTTTGCCAACAAATATACTTGCAACAGATTAATCAACTGATTCCTAGGATATACGTACATATATAATTCTATATTGTTTAATTTATCTGACGATATAACATTAGGTGCAGGATTTGTCATTATACTTTCGCCGTTTCGCGTTCATCGAAAAATATTACAGATCTTTGACGCCATCTGTTCCGTATAAACTTCGAACACGTTTCGCAACTTGAAATATAAGCATATACGCGCGTGTTCGCACGTCACAATCCGTGCCTGTTACTATACTGTATATGTATATATATATATATATATATAAATAGAGAGGGGAACTTAAAGCGTCCAGTTGAAATTAAGGTTCATGCTGCAAAAGAGTAACTGCGACGTACCTACTATACCATCATCGTTTCAACTCGCGGCGTTGCTGAAAGACGCGGTTAGTAATTTTGTCATGCGCGTATGTAAGTGTCGATGTCTAAGAGAGCACGTTAAAGACTACGAAACAGAAGAGACAATCCATTTGAATGATCGCGTATCGTACTCCACCGGAATTGACAAGTGTCAGTTTCCTGTTGAGTATATTACGTTTCATCAGCAGTCTTTATTCCATTTCGACCGGTCGGTCCTTTGTGAATAGAGTTAAGCATCTGAACGATCTCAAGATGTTACTAAAAGAGCTCGCCTGAAGATCGATTACGCGATTGCTTTCGTGCTTCGTACGCTTGTGTTTATCGAACGAGCAATAGTCTCCTAGTATTTTTTTCTTTTTTCTCTGTTTTAAATAAAGGTGATAAACGAAACGAATTTTAACAATTGTAAAATTACAAGTCGATACAGTTTTATACAATTGCTAAATTGAAACGAGGCAATATTGTGAAACATAATCTAACTACGACTTATCGATAAAATTTGCGTACTATAATATTCCCGTAACTTTCAGCAACAATGGAAACTGGAAAGTGACGATCTATCGTTTTTCTAGCTACTACGTGAAGATTGTGACGTACGAAGTGCAACATCGAGAAATGTTGATAATTTCGCCCCAACGTTTTCAGGAACGCGTTGATATGTATAAGAGGAATGTCCGTGAACCATAGTATGACGGCTAAGCTACAGACATTCGAATTCACTATCAAGTTATATACTACGCGTCTCGCGTTCACGCGACCTTTAACAGACATCCAGAAAATACTTGGCAACGATCTTGATATGTAACGTTCGGTGAAAAAGGCTCGTACGATCGTTTTCATATATCGAAGGGCCTTTCCTTCACCCTGTTATCGTACGTCGCGATCGAGATTCTTTCTTTCTTCCTCTCAGATACTCTTCGAGCATAGTTTTCGACTGATTTGTCATTACCGGTACGAAATCGAACGCTACGATAGAAGTTCGATTGATCCAGACGCCATGTGCGGGCGTCGTGTTCAATCATATCGTACTTACCGAATGATCTTCGGTATCGTGACCGATATATCGAGACTCTTGTCAATTGTTAATCATTTTCGATCGTACAACTATTTCTTTTTCCCTTAAATATAGATTATAAATACTCAATCTAACGGACTATTAATTTTGTTTTTATCATTTTCATTTCATATTTGTAACAAAAGAGAAAATGTAATCGTTTAAAATTAGCCAAGAGGATGTAAAAAGAAATATTTATAATTCTCTCAGAATTTGACAATCTAGGTTTTAACCACAATCGACCAGCTCTCGATACCTCTGTTTACTGCTACATTCGTCTGAATCGCAATAAAAAAAAATAGTGATACAAACTAGCGCAGTGGAGCTTTAATTATCGTGAAGTAAACTCGTCGTGAAATGAAACATTGTTAATCGTTCAATCATGCCACGTCTCCGCGACCGTGGCACGATTGTTTAACGACAAAAGAACAACGTAAATTGACGGAGCTAGCAGCGTGAGTGGAGGAAACAAGGAAAATGCCGCCGGTAGCTGGTTCTCGCGTTCGTGAATCAGGGGGTATGGATACGCGTATGGGAAAACTAAAAGCGTCACGTGACTGAACGTCCCAGTTAGAGCATAGCAATAGCTGTGGTTAACAATTGGAGCATCGTGTCGACATAAACGTGACAATTGCCGGTCGACGAAGTTCGCCCAGCATTTTTCCCGACGCAACCCATTCTCTCTAACGGTATGTTCTGAACCGAATACTCTCGGTGCTCGTTCATCATGGTGCACACTGTACGCTTCCTCGACATCCGTTCGTCGTCCTTGTCACGCAGATTTCCCAACCACACGGAGTACCATCGTAGCTCGCAGTCGCAGATCAGAGGGTTGTCTGTATAGAAAAAGGAAAATTCGAAAAATTAATATTTACATATTTGGCAGGTAACTGGTGACATGATTTATTTGGAGTGAAGGAATAGCTAAACCTATTTTATAGATCGACCATAAATTCACATTCTCCTTTACTTCTAATATTCGTTGTAACAGAATTACCGTGAATTGAATCACTCGAACGATAATTAATCTAAAACAGATCTTTCAATTTTCACGATCTTCTTAAAAGCGTGTTCATTCACAGACTAGAGAGAGAGAGAGAGAGAGAGAGTTTCAAAGTTTAATTGATATTTAAAAGGAACTACTTGTCTTCAATAATGACGTCTCTTAACGACTAAAATTCGTCTCACTTCTAATAACTACGTTCTCCATACTCGAGTCTCTTTAACCCAGAAACCTGTTTCGAGTTCATCAACGTGGCTCTCTCCAGACATATTTCAATCAATTTTTACATTTCTCCGAAAACTTTTAACTTCACGATGTCAACATTCTCATAAATCTCCAATTTGAAAGATCTCCCGCTCGATCTTCATCGATCTCTCGACTCTGTACGAATAGTAAACACACTTTTCCACGGATCTAATATTCACAAACATCTCCTGTCTACATGTTCCTCCACCTCACCAGAGATCTATCCTGATCTTTGACATTTACCCGTGATATCGATGTGTCGCAGGGTGTCCACGATATTTTCAGTCACTTCCTCCGGTATCTGCGTGAGCTTGTTATTCTGCAGATTCAACGTTTCCAACGAGTTCAAATTCTCGAATACCAACGGCGGCAACATCTTGATCCTGTTACAGTAAGAATATATACATGTATACACTTTTTGCTAGAAGAACCAGTGAAATTTCGAAGAAAGAAGATTCCGATAAAGCGACGATTGCGATAATTACAAGTTCTTTTGAAGGTTCAGAAACGTAATGGAATCTCCATATCCGGTGAAAGCGTCCTCCGGGAGCAGCGTAATGTTATTGGACCTTAAATCGAGGTGGCGTAATCGATGTAGACGGCGCAAAGCGTCGCTCGGCACCGCGTGTAAATTATTATCGCCCAGCCGCAAATATTGCAGGTTCTCTGTAACGGAATTAAAATAAAATATGCACGAGCTTGCGACACGGTGTGTGTGTGTGTGTGTGTGTGTCGAGCATGTGTTTTGCACGAATTAACGGGAACAATCGGGACGAAAATTAATCGGCGGACGATCGAGGGTAGGTAAAAACAGGGCAGAAGCGCGTGTTCGACGAACGAAAATGAACTTTTCGGAAGATTCGCTAGTAGTGCCGCGAATTCCAAACCGATCGAGTTTTACTTTCGAAAGTTGCGTATTTTATTTGAAATACGCTCGAGCTGGTTGTTGGCCGCCGACAAACGTTAATAATTCACGCAAAAATATCTTCGAAAAACAAGCACGAGAAAGATAAATACTGCTCGTTCGGAATATGTTTGGGGAATAATTCAGTGGAAGAACTTTGTACAAATGATACATTTTTTGTAACAAGTTTTAAGTGGATCAAAAAGAAAAATTGAGGGAAGAACAAGAGAGGAGAGACAGGTTGTGTGATCAATTTTGCAGAGCAGGATAATTTCGTTTAAAACTGATAGGAGAAATAAATAACGATGCAAGTATTTGCATCGTTCAGAGACTCCTATGAAAATATGGTAATATTTTTTTCATTGCAATCAAGCGTATTTCGCTTCGAGCCGATATTACTCGTGGCTCGATTATCGGGGAAATTTGTTCGTCGAGAAAAAAAATTCCTCCATTTACGCTGTTAATTGACGGTTTTAACCGACTTATCGAAGTATTTTCCCCATCGAAATCGCAAATTGAAACGCTCGTTGCTGTTTATTGTGTAACACGTTTTGTTTTCAATCGTTGTTTTTTTCACACACAACTTACTAACTCGTGCAATCTTCGGAGCTGCGTTTACGTTTAACGCGCGAACAACAATTCGAGTGCTAATTCATTCGTCGAATATGGAAATTTCGAGTTGGCTAGATTCGTTTCGCGGCCATAATGCAAACTCGATCGACTCTGAAACACGTTTGTAACTTCAAACGAGCGGTTATTCGTTACATTGGCACGTGGAACTTCAATCGAGAGCCCGCTTTTAGTGGGTGAACGTTCGACAATTTTTTCACAAAGTAGCGACGATCCTTTTAAAAATATTCCTCGCTACCATCGTGTATCTTGTGTCACATACGTAACAGACGTAAAATTAACCCGTTGAAACAGTATTTCAAACCTAGGATATCTGGATAGCCAATCACCGCATGGGCGAGCAATTGCAAATATCGTTGTTTCTCAACATTTGTCCCGGCAATCCATTTCCAAGAATCCTCGGAAAATTTGTAACTTTAAAAGGACCCAAACTTGTCTCTCCGCCACCTCACAAACCACGTAACAAATAGCTGCACCAATCGGGAAAACGAACATCCACCTCCGCATATATTCTCACACCAATAGCGAAATAGCAATAGTTAATAAAAGACAGTTTTTCCAACGACACGCCAACTTTCGAACAGTGAACACCGTTACATTCTCGCGCAGTGATGCATTAACAAAATACACAGAATATTGAAATAATCAACTCTCTCCTGCATTATTTCTCAACGCTTCCCGTGCACTACCCCCGTATCCCGAGTAAATTCCTCGAGTGGTTTTACTGAAAAAGAAGGACAAAGATATACACGGATATCGTTCTTCCTAACGCGACGAACTAATCACACCATTCACAGAAATTCTCCATTTTCACACGTTTTCCAGTTTCATCGATATTTCTCGCGCCTCCGGTGAAACGGTGTTTCCACACTCTCGAAGCGACAAAGAAGATTTTTTCACCGGTGGGAGGGAGGGAATTACCACTGTGAATTTCCATATTCAAATGCGACATAATGCCACAATAGTCGATCCAATAATCCAGCCCTGCTTTCGCGTAATTACTCTCAGCTAAAATATCCGATTAACCAGTTACAAAACCGCATATTCGCGAGTATTCGAAACAATTCCGGTATCACGTTGGTCCCCACCCCGCAACCCTTGTCACGGGGCAAGCGGGGTTTCACGTCGTTGGTAAAATCGAGTTCGACGAAATTTGTCGTACAGCTTTAATGGAAAATCGATGCAAAGAGAGGGCGAAGGGACGAGGGCGGAGGGTTGGTAATCGGTTATTCGAGGCGTGTCACGAAGCTAACGCACGACTGAAATAATAATACCCCTTTTGGTACAGGTGTACAGACGGCTCAACGGAATCCCGTGCAACTTGTGATTACGCTTACCCTCGAGACCGATGAACGCATCCGGATCCACGTGGGTAATTTGATTTCCGTCTAGCTCCAAAGAGTTTAATTGCGTCAAGTGGGAGAACACACGGGCCGGAACCTCGCGGAGCTGATTGTGCGCCAATACTAGCGAGTCCAGACTTTTCAGACCTGTGAACAGAGAAATGGAGACGTTCGTTTCTAACCTTGCTGTTTCATTCCTGACTTTCGAACGATGGTGAAAATTTATTTCGAAGGAAATTTTGGTGTTTTCGTATGGTGTTCGTAGGAAATGAGATTCTTCAGGTTCGTGTTTTTTCACGTTTCCTGAAAGATGTTTTACGTTGTTTTAGAGGAAGTAGGTGGTTTTGCTGTTTGAGGATTTTTGGATTAATTCGTGTACATGGTGAAAGTGTCCTGATTTTTGACACGAACTAATTTGCATCTAAGAATAAACGTGCATATTTTACGCGGTACATTAACTCTCCAGTTGACCTTATTGCTTGCACGCTGAAAGGTCGGGGATGCACGCGCGTCCACGCAGCGTAAAGTTCTCGAGTTAATCGAACATGAGTCGATTTTTCACCAAGTTGGTATTAATTGATTGGTACCGTGTTCTCAATTTCAAATATTTGCAACGATAGCTCTCGCTTAACATCGAAATTACGATTAAACAAGACCAGCTCTAAACATTGAAAATCGAGAATATTCCATGATCTGCATGTTAAGATAAGATAAAAGAATTTTCACTGAATTTCGATTAATTCAAGATAAAACCTATTAAAACCTGAAGTTTCGAGAAGTTTTCTCTATTTTCTATATCGATTACCATAGAATTGCTGGATGAAATTAGAAAATGGTACGAAGGGAGGAAATGAAAGCAGACGTACCGTCGAAATCGCCTTCCTGAATGACGGTGAGCCTATTCTCCTGTATCTCCAACTTCTTCAGCATGTCCAGGTTGTGCAGTGCTTGCGTCGGCACTTTATTCAACTCGTTCCCTCCCAGATTCAATCTTTTCAGCTTCCTGCTACAATTCACGCGCATTTTTATTCCACGTTCAATTTTACGATCCTGCGATTATCAGTTTGCGACATGAAAGGGGAAGTTCTGCTCTAGCAGGTAGGTAAAGACAAAATTGAAATGAAATTTCTTCTTGGGAAAATACCAATTCGTTCTGGAAATATTAACAAAAGAATTCACGAGAGATGTTTATTTTTCAATTGTCGTTTCAAGACCAGAATCTTTTTCTGACAATTTACGGAAATAAAATTCAAGACTCTTGCTGGGCTAAAAGGTAGCTAAAAATGTGGAAAATTCACCTTGTCACGGAGAAAAAATATTTTTGTTCAGTAATTAGCGTTAAATTCTGTGCAAAAAAACAAGAAATATTTCGTTAACTGCCCGTTTCTTGTAGCAAAGTATTCGATTCACAGCTTGAACTGAATTGTTTTCATTATTGCGTTCTTTTATCAAGCGATTTACTTATGCAATCCCGTGAATGCCTCTTCTTCTATGGTGGAGATCTCGTTCTCGTATAGGGAAAGTATTTCGAGTGTGTCAAGTCCTTCGAAAGCTTTCTTATGGATGGCCTTGATCTTGTTGCGGTTCAGATTCAAGATGAGCAGATGCTGAAGATCTTTCAACGCGCTCGAAGGTACCGAGAGCAAAGCGTTTTGCGATAGGTCTAGCTGCGTCAGGCCCGTTCCTATTCAACAACGTAATAAATCATTCCAATAAATTGTTCTTATAGCTTCGAAAAATATTTTCTCTCATTCGATACATTCCCTTCCAACGTAAAACGAAGAGTACTTTTTAAAAAAGCAACACTTAAAAAGAAAATAGAAGGACGCTAATTTTTCTCTGCTTTTCAAAACCAAAGAAAATTCTCCCCGAAGAACCCAAACACTATCACAAAGGAAGCAAAGAAAAAAAAAAAGAAAAAGAAAGTGAGAACCAAACCTCGACACTTAAACTCTATACATATGTATATAACAATCCGATACTCAGCGGGGAGTTCCCGTTTAAAAGCTTCGAGTAACCGAGGCGAAAAAGCTCGTGGAAGAATCGAAGGAAAGAAAACGTCCCAAGGGGCGTTTCGAGTGCGATTCAATTAAAACATTTTTCCACTCGGTTGGTTAAGGACCAAGGAGTAAGAAAGGGGATACTCGAAGCAAAGAAATAAACAAAGAAAGAAGAAGACGAAGAAGAAGAAAAAAAAGAGAATCACTCACCAATGGAACTCAGGGATGATTCCTCAAGTTTCGCCAGGCTGCTATTGTGGATCGTTAAATGGCGGATGTCCAAACCGAGGAACACGAACGGCTGCAATTTCGGCAGACTGCTGTGCCTAAGTCTCAGATAGAAGATCACCGTATTCGTTCTCCCTTTGAGCGCGGACATCACATCCGAGATGTGAGTGAGATTGGTGAACTCGCATACGATGTCCAGGCCGGATTTCTTCAGGGTGCAGGAACAGGGCGAGATGGCATCGTGCGAGGGGCAGATCTGCGATGTTTGTGCCAGGGTTAGACCCATGATCAGACACATCATGCAAATCAGCGACCATAAGCCGTTCTCCTTCATCTTTTTATCTTCTTCTTCTTCTTCTTTTTTTATTCGACCGCTCTCTTCTTTCTTGCAAAGATCTTCTCTTTTTCCGTTTGTTCTTTCTTCTTGTTGGATTTTATTTGCTTTCTTTGACAAAGATTGTTTCTTCTTCTTTTAGGGAGGGAGGATGTTCGAAAGAATAGGAATTCTTCTTCTACCGTTTTACGAGGTTGATTCTTCTTCTTCCACTCTGTTCCCGCTCTCTTTCGCTTTCTCTGTTCTCTACGTTTCCTATCCTTCCACTCGGTCGGTTCCTTCTTTCCTCTTGCTTCGCCTTCTCTGTTCCTGTACCTGCAGCCTGCTACTTAGCCTCTGCTCTTCTCATATGAGTCTGGAAACGGAGGATCAGACGATTAACGAGAGTGCTTGGAGGATAATTGGTCAGAATCGTTGGAAAATTGGCCACTTTTTCAGATCTGCTCGTAAATATCAGTTTTGGGTTCTATAGGCTCTGTATCGCTTGTGGACGTCGTTTCAATTGTTCGTTTTTTTACGAGGGAGAAGATTTATAAAATTTATAGAAATAGGCTTGGTTGATACTCGATATTTAATATACAGATAGGTAAGATCAGGCCTGAATGATATGCGTCACAATTGTATTTAAAGATTATGAAGGGTCAGCTCATCCTAATACTTCGAAATTTTATGCAAACACGCAATCTAGTCGTTCTACAATTTTTTCCCACTTTGTTTTTTGGTGGAGCCATTACGCCGTCGCTATAAAACTTCTTTGGTTTTTCATTAAAGTATTTTTCGCCCTCGGCACGATTTTACGGGACGAATATTAGTCTTCTCGAAGTAAAACTTGGAAAATTTAATTAGACCTAGTTTCATACACTTTTAGTATACTTGAAGTTACAAGATTTGGTAGATGCTTAATATCTGATATGCATGTAAATTCTGAATTTTAAATATCACCCTCATTCTACTGCTGTTATTGGGCCGAAAAGGGTTTAGAATATTCGACGAGATATTACGCTTCTCTCTGATATAAATCGTAAAATTCGTTCAATATGCGGAAAAACGAATTACCGTTTGATTATTCAAAAATTAGAATATTCAAATTACGGTCGAATATAAAAGACGATGAAACGAATGACTTACAATTTTCTCTGATCTCAATTGATAGAATTCGAAAATCACAAATTCGTTCGAGGATTCTTCTGATTGATTTTTTCTTTTTTTGTAATTTTCAATCCGAGCAATTTCGAATGCGTAACTTGCAACTGAAAATTATAGCAATTTACCGATTTCATCGGTTCCCATCTATAAAGCCCCCGCAAAAAAAAACGACATTCGATTGATCATTTACGCGAACCCTTACATCGCAAAAACCGGACAAAATGTCCTCCAATTAAACGCGACGCATTTTACAGCTACACGTGGCCGTAATTAACTCGCCGGGAAATGCCATTAATTAACGTCGAACGATGAAAAGCTGTACAGAAATGTCGCAGATATCAAAGGCGGGGAGGAAGGGTTCAGAACAAGCTGATTTATGAAGCTTGAAAGCAGTATCGGCGTCGTTTCACGCGTCGATTATCTCGATCACGAGACGACGAAACGTTTATACGTCGCTTTTCCTTCGGACAAACGTAATTTTTTTCAAACAAACAATCTATATTCAACGTTCAATTGTCATTGTTAAGAAAGCTTGCGATGGTACGATTTAGCAAAAATGATCGATGTAAGTTTTACAATAAATCTGTAATATATACACGAAACGAACGTAGGATATTCTACAATAATTCGACATTTATAACAATGCAAAGGTACCGAATGAAACTGCATTGTCAGGTTATAATCCGTTAAATTAAATTGGTCACAAGTTACATCGACACGCAAGTTACAGCTCGCGCATAAATATCAATGATTAATTAATTCGTTAATTAATTTAAATAATATTGTTCAAATTTTATGCAAACATGAAAACTAAAATGTACGGATGTAATTAAATTTTTTAAAATTTAGTAATTCTTGTTAAATTTAAAAACGTACAAAATTTATTCATTAAACGAATATAATCTGGAAATCTTTTGTTTAAGTTTCTCGTTGCTTGTTTATTTCATAGAAATCGGCGAGATACCGACTGAAAAATACGATACAAGCAACTCTCCCCTACAATTTTGACAAGAAACTAAAAATTATACGTATATTTCGAATATTTCCCTAATTTTCGTATTGACAACCATAGTCTCAAATATATTACACACTGTAGTGTCTTACAGTATGAAATCGTTGGTATCAAGCACCGCCATCGTTGACTCCGAATTAATGGCTTCCACTTTCGAACGTTTCGAGCTCATCCCTAACCCCTTCTTCTCTCTATCGAGGGTTTAATTATAGATAAAGCTCTTCGAGGTTTGTAAGTTACTCGCTGCGATAGTGAATAGGATGTAACGATCCTGTTCCCGGCATTGTTTCGAAAAATTTACGCGTCTCGCCTTCCTCCACGTGTCACCGACGCGATTCGATCTCGGATAATAATTTATTTTCGTCGCGGTTTGTTACCTCGATAAACACCATTGTTCCATACCGCCATTGATCGACGTGACACAATGGGGGAACAACGGTGTGAAAAATGCGTAGAAACGTGTGAAAAGCAAACATTTTCGAGCGGGCTCTAAGAGTGTAGCGTTTCGAAAAATTGTCGTTTTTGCAATGAAAAAAAAATTCCAAACACACCTCTCTAAACTATTTATCCACGGGGAGAAAAACACAACGTTATTCAATTTGCGAAAGTTCGTTCAAACTGAACTTTTTGGTTTCCGTATGATTTTAACTTTTAACTTTTCTCTTCGTCTATCGCAGCCTCTGTTTTTCGACGTGCAAACGTGCGCGCCATTATTTCGGTCGGCTGTATTTTTTCACATTTTTTTCCCCCAGCGAAAATAAATCCGCGCGCGAACGGTGGCTTTTTGAACGAGGTGTCGGTACGCATTTTGGAGAATTTTCGGCGCGGCGAAGTGTACTTGAAACAAATTCAATCGTCGCGCGATGCGGTACCTTTGACGAGAAAATCGTAAAAAAAAAAAAAATCTCTGTCTGCGAACGCGCGTCTCTCGTCATTTCACGAGGAACATATATTTGCTTTTTGATAATTCGATTAACGTATGATTCGACCGATGTAGCTTCGCGAGGAGTTAAAAATTTCCAAAAAAAAAAAAAAAATATTTGTCAAGCTCGATTTTCGATAATCGAGCAGCTATCGTTTTCATCCCCTGCTGTTTTTATGACCTCGCTATATTTTTTTTCACGTATACCTTTGAGAGGCCTGTGTGACCTGACTGAGAGGGCGCATTTAGGTACGCGAGTGCATGTGTGTGTGTTTGGGGTGACGATGCTAAAGTTGAAGCGAGGAAAAGTTTTAGTGGCGGAGTATTTGGCCGTGCCACGGAGAAAGCGGAAGTTAAAGTAAAAAGCATCATTCAAGAGTAATTCTACGTGACACGCGTATCATACACGAAGAATATTCTTTAATAAAAATTTATTTAGGTGTTGCGACTTTTCGATGAAAAATGTCTGGGAGCGCGGGAACTCTACGAATATATTTGAACATATATTTTATTCATTCCGGCAACTCACACACTTTAGGAGACTATAAAATGTAAAATTTAACCAATTTTGATGTATAAATGAGAGAAATATTATGTACTCGAAAATTTTGCACGTAAATTGTGTTTGTAAGTAACGAGTTCGTGGAAGAAAATGTTCAAATATTGTTACTCAACTGTAAAAGTTTGAAGAATTTTCTCAAAATGGAACGTTTTTTTTTTGTTAAAACAATTGTTTCAATGAAAAAGTATAATACTTTGTGACGATTGCTAGAATTGCGAGGGTAAAGGTTTCGACGAAATTACAGTCCAAAATCAAGGATTCGACTTTTGCAAAAAAAAAAAAAAAAAAGAAAAAAAAACATACCGATCCATGTAGATCACGTGGCGGTTTCCTCTCTCAAACACGGAATACTTGCTACGGAACTGCGAAGCGGAACAACGATGCGCACTCGCGTGATCACTGGTCATCGCTTATTGATGTCACTGCGTATCAAGAAACTTAGCCGCTCATTCGATTAATCCAAACAGGGGTTCACGCTGAACACTGGAGGGAGCATAACGACACACTTTTCCCTGGCACGATGTGCCTGAACGTATGATGTAAAAAAAAATGTCGAAAGAAGTCACGATTAATGTCTTCCTTTTTATCACTCTATCGCTAACACAAAATTAAAAGAAGTCACGATTAATCCCTTCCTTTTTATCACTCTATCACCAATCTCTCGAACAATTCTCTACAAACAACTGACGATCAGCACGACACAGTCTAAAACGAATTTTCCCAAATCACCAACAACACTTGTCTATACTCTATCTTTTCCACACGTACATTTTAATCACCAAAGAAAGAACCTACTACGGACTAATTAAACACACGATCCAACAATCCGATCTAATCGTCCAATTTCACAAGAACCTCTCCCTTATTCGAACACAGTGGCAGGGAAAATTCCTTGAAATCAGCTAACACAGACGAAGAAATCGTTCTTCTTCCTCTCCTCTCGATGTTTTTTCTTTCTTAAATCGACGTCTGATGGGGTCGAGGTGTCTTTCTTCGCGGACAGGACGAAAGTTGAGGTATCGTGGTTGGACGGTGGGCGTCTCGACGCTCTAACAGACCGGTCGACAAGCGAAAGCTGCCGTCTGTGCCGGCCTCTGCTCGGTACCGCGAAGCCGAGCTGACCTGGGTGTCCGTTGGCATCATCATTGGTCAGTTAATGAGCGACTTCCGTTTAGGGGATCATGGGATACGCGACGACGTCATCGCGATACTTTCTTGGGTGTGGATGCAAGTTTATTGATGCCGCTTCGCTCTACTCTTTCGACGACAACGGTCAAGGAACGAACGGTCGTCTCGGTGCACCGTGTCGCGTAATTTCGCCTGATACGTTAGGCTAACTTTGATGCGGCTGTGTGAGA